ATTTTCTTATAATCAAATCATATATAAATTCAATTAAACCTCCAATAAAATTTAATTGAGTTCATAAACATTTAATTTTGGATTTTTTTTCTTGAATTGAATTTTTCTTTGTTAACAAGACTCTTCATTTGTAAAATATATGTCAAATTTTCAATCTTTGAATTTTTTAGTCTCTTTAACTAACTTCTAGCTATTTTCTGAGTGCTCTAATATCCTTTTCTCACTGTTGTTATTTTTTGAATTTTTTGTTTTTAGTTCGAATATGTTTTTTTTTTTGAAAAAGAAAAAGTGAATTTAAAAAATAACTAAAAAATAGGTTATGACACCCGTTACTCGGTTTGTTGATGTTAAAGGCATTTGTTGTATCGGTTTTTTACAAAAGCATTATTGTGGTTTCAATTTGAAAAATTATATCTTTATAATTTAATTTGTTAAACAATAAATTAACGGTCTCATTAATTTTAAATCTTAAAGACATGGAGAAATACATGCCATATTTCTATTTGTTCCAATTTTAGAAAACATATCAATAAAAAATAATATAGATAATATATTTTGGTCAAGTGATATAAAACGCTACAAGAATGATTAGGAATGAGAATTTATTAGAAGTGACCTCATTGATCTAAATTGTCGAATGAAATTCGGTAAAAGATGGCATGACTTTTACCATATAAAATCAAATCTCAAGTCCCTAACACCAACTCTCGTATAGGATATGTTTATTTTCATGGTGTAACTGTAATTTTAAAAATTTTAAATTTATTTTAAAAAAATAAGATTTTTTTTATTGTTTTGGATTGGTTTAATGAAGTGATGTTGAAAATAAATATTTAAGAAATAAAAAATTTATTTTAAAATATTTTTTAAATAAAATTATTTTAAAAAACAACTTTAATTATTATCTCCAATATGCAATGTTTAATATTATAGCAGCAGTTATTTTTAATTTAAATTTATTTTAAAATATATTAAAATAATATTTTTTATTTTTTAAAATATATTTTTAATATTAATATATTAAAATAATTTAAAATTATAAAAAAAATTCCAATTTTTTTGCAAAGGTATGGACACGCCGAAAGACAAACGGACTTTAAGACTACTGGGAGTCTGAAACCACTGGGATCAATGACTAAAGGGCCGGGGGTCGAGACAAACGGACTTTAAGACTACTGGGAGTCTGAAACCGCTGGGATCAATGACTCAAGTGCCGGGGGGTCGATAGAGCGTTGATATTCCACGTTTTCCAGTCTATGCTCCATGAGACCAAAGGGACTTGATTTCTTCATTGTGGGCCGATAGAATGCCTAAGTTTTGGACATATGTATTATGTGCAACTCTTCTGCCCATAAATTGAATCTGCTTTTGTATTGAAATATAATGGTCCACCTGGAAAATGATATTGTGCTCGTGTCCAAAACACACACACACACACATATACATACTAGGCTCACCCCTTTTATATATAAATAATTCTTTCTTTTTATTATGTTTTGGAAAATTTTCTTCTGAGCGGTATTTTTATTAAAAAAAATTCTAAAAGGCATTGGAAGACTACCTCAATGTATAAGGAAATCTCTCTCATATTTCAACTATAAATGCCAGTATTTTTCTTAGTATGATTAGAGGCAAATGCATCTCACAAAATTAAAAGGTTACAGAATTACAAATTAAAAGATAGCTAGAAAAGTTCTGTTTTGTGATAATTTGTCAAGGTTGTCCTTTTTCTTCCTTCACAATTTTTATTGTTTTTGTAAGTTTAATTTTTATTTAATAATTTATTTTCTTAACATTTCAGTCATTAAACTTTTTTTAAAAAAGGAAATCGTTTGAAAAAATATATATATATAAAATTTTTTTAAAAAAGGAAATCGTTTGAAAATATATATATATATAAAAAGAAAAAATCGTTAGTTTTGCCTCATTTTAATGACAAAATAGATTAATCTTATTATTCACGGTTCCATTTAATTGATGTGTTTTTTAATCTTTGTTTTACTTGAAAAAAGTTAAATTAAAATTGAAAAAAAAAATTGGTTTATTTTTTTCTCCTGTTTAGATTAATAAATTTGTTTTTTATGTTATAATGGTGTTTATTATGTGTTTTTAAAAGAAAATTAAATTAATTTGTTGATATTTTCATTTTAATCAAAAGAAAAAAGCCTGTCTAATTTTTCATTCAATATAATAGAAATCGTATACCAGACAACTATCTAAAAATAAATAATTACGAGCTGATGACGTGGTCATTTGCCTTAAATAAGAAAAAAAAAAAAACAAGAAAATCCCAGACACGTTAGGTTTTTTTTCACAAAAAACAAAATGGGCTAGGCACTTGAAGGCATTCAGTTCAAAGTAACTGACACCTTTTTAACTTTTTTTTTTAAATTTAAATTAAGATCAATTAAATAGATTAATTACACAAAGGTGTGGGATGCCCTACTTGGAGGGTTTTGAGTTTTCACTGAAATTAAGTTAAACAATTATGATATCTTTTAATAGAAAAAAATTAATTTTTACTTGGTTGTTAACTAAGATTACAATAATTTTTTTTAATAATAGTGTATTCTTTTAGTGCAATCCTACATAATTTTATTTTTTTTAATTTTATTTATTAACTTTTCTCCATGTATTTATTTTTATTATTATTTAATTAAATAAAAAATTATTTAATCCAATCAGGTCTATAACTCTTGTTTGAAAATAAAATATTTTAATTTGTATATATTTTAAAACTTTTTATTTAGTTTTTAGGTAGTATTAACAATTCTCTTCTTTTTCTTCTTTTTCTTCTTTTTTACATTTATTAACACATTTGTTTCTTAACTTATTTAATTAAATACATAAATAAATTTTTTAATTCACAATAAATATTTTTCATTGATATCAAAAATATGTTAAAAAACCTGTATATTTATTTTTTAAGTGTTAATTGTTTTTTTATCCTACCCATGATCAATCACAGGTTAACTAACTAGATTTTAAAATTAATTGTTAGAATTTTATTTGAGAATAGAAAAACTATTAGTAATACATTTTTATTTTTTTTTGACATTGAATTTTTTTTTGTTTCAACCCGAATCGAGGCACAGCTAGTAACCTAGCATGCAAACTAGGGAATGAAAAAGGATGAAATTAGACGAATACAGGTAATTATGAGCATTCTGATTTTCTCTTCTCCGTTTCTCGCTCATTCTTTCATGATGTCTTTGATGGCATGAATTAAATTACAATTAATTATGAGCATCAAAATATTGTAATTCGATCTTTGTAAAAGTTGAATTATAGCTCTCTAGAGCAAACACCAGTCTTGGTGCGTGAGAGAGAGAGGGTTTTTTAGAATAAGTAAACGACTAGGTGGCAAATAGATTAGATACAAAGAACTAATATTATGATTTGTAGAAGTAACAATTAACTAATCAAGTACTTAAATGTGCAAGTAATAAAAGGTGTGGAAGGGAGTGAATGATCGAAGTCTAGATGAAGGTTTAAGAATTGTGTGTCATTAGAAGATGCATAATAATATAAATTATATTTTAACTCATTTAACTAATAACTTAAATTATTAGAGTAAAATAATTATTTAATATAGTAACAGAATTTTAATAATTAAATGATTATAAATTTAAATCCCATTAGTTTTATTTTTTTCTAATTAAAAATGTAATTAATAACATAAAGTAGTGTAAGTATGTTTAAATTTTAAGTTTAAATAATTTTTATGTTAAAAAATAATATAAATTAGATTTTTTGTTAAGATATTTTTTTTCAGATTTTATTTTATAATTTAAATTATAAATAAGTTATAAAATATAATTTATATTTTCTTTTCTCCGGAAAGATGGAGAGTTTTGAGATACGGTTTTATCTAGTAAACAATTATAATTTAAAATTACGCAAATGATTTATAAAATTAGTCTCTCTCGCAATGAAGTAAGCTGGTGTTTATAATAAAATGAGAATGGCCTTCCATGACCAAGCTCACGTCATGAAAGATGGTCAGATTTGAATTGAAAACTTGTTTTTTTGAACTAATTAAATTATCTCAACTCAATGATAAGGTGAAGAGTACTAACAATTGAGCCTTCCTTTGGGACGTTAAACCAAACCTATGAAGTCATTTTCGATTGATAAAATGACACTATTCATGTCATAAAAGAATGGGTGACTATTGGTTATTTATTAAGTTGAAGATTTAACCATTTTTAAAGTATAAATGTTCATAAAGATACAATTACTTTTAGGGTTTAAAAAACACGATTACTTGAAATTATATGGTAGCAATAGCCATTTGCAACGCAGGCGGTGTCCTGTATGTAAGCCGACTTCATTTTATTCTTACCATGAGCTGGCTATTACTATTATAAACCACTCATGTCCATATATCCTTGCAGTGACTATAAAATTTAAGAGGTAAGATAAATATACGTCGTCAACTGACCCATTCAGGCTAATCAAAATTACATGAAAACTCCATTGATCTGGCTAACAGTATATTTGCCTTCAGCTTTTCTTGCATGTTCCATTTAGTTTCTGCACACGGAATCCTTAGGGGTTACATAAGCTGACCGCCCGCTCACTTCCATATAAATACAATAACGATACTTTATTGAAAACTCATTTCCATGATTACGGGCAAAAAAGAGGTCCATGCACAAGCAAAATGTTCCATTTGACGAACCCCAAGTCTGTTTTAATTGGGAAGCTTCTACTCCTCCTCGTTTTCCTTTCTTTTTAGACAAATAAATAGCTTCATTTCACAGAAATTTACTTGATAGACTAGATTACAAGCTTTACCTTAAGGAGTTGAAGCCCCATGTACAATAGTTTACTTGATATAACTGGCATGTTGGGCTGTTGGTCGAATTCCAGTTGACTTCTATGTAAGGAATTATCTGTAATAATTTAATAATCTCCTGGAATCTAGCCCCACTTATCTTCTCTCTAAACACTATAAATAGCCAGTTTTGCCTTGCCATTTAAGACCACAACTACCCTAGCTTCTCATAAATATCTCCAGATTTCTCTGTACTTACGAAGCTCTTCTTTGTTGTGACCAAAAAGAACACGGTTTTTTTTTTTTGCTTTTCTTGTCAGGAGAGATAAAGAAACATGCAATCTCCTGTGAGGTTTTCAAGCTGCCGAGGAGTATCCTTCGAAATCAAACCTCATGAAAATCTATTTGCCATTTCTGCACCATCCAATGAGAAGGCGGGAGGGAGCACACGAATTTCGCTTCCTTGGACTCTAGGAAGCTCCTCAAAGGTGTTTCCTTCTATCTCCAGGTCTTCAAGTAGACCCAGTAGCCATTTCTGTGATCTTGATCTTGATGGTGAGGATGATCAAGATGACATTTCTTTGGCAGTATTAGAAGAAGGTAAAGTGGAGGAAAATAAGCAGAAAATAGCTACGTTTCCATCCGGAACTAAGCTAGAGCAGCCATCAAAACCTGCTCGAAAGCAAGAATCAAGACTGTCGGTGATATTGCTGGACCAAGACTTGTTCACTGTATACAAGCGACTCTTTATCGTTTGCTTGACCCTGAACATCACTGGTTTGGTACTTGCAGGAACTGGGAAATTCCCATATGCAAGAAATAGAGCTACCCTTTTCTCCATAGCCAACATTCTTGCATTGACACTCTGCAGGAGTGAGGCCTTTTTGCGAGTTGTTTTCTGGCTCGCAGTCGAGGTCTTTGGAAGGTCTTGGATCCCTCTTCTAATAAAAACCACCACCACATCTCTACTTCAAAGTCTTGGTGGCATACACAGCAGTTGTGGAATTTCTTCAGTTGCCTGGCTCATATATGCCTTAGTCCTTACTCTTAAGAACAGAGAAAACACTTCGCCAGAGATTGTAGGAGTGGCCTCTATTATCCTTTCTCTCCTCTGTCTCTCTTGTTTGGCTGCATTCCCTCTCGTCCGCCATCTTCATCATAATGTCTTTGAAAGGTTTCACAGGTTTGCTGGATGGACAGCTCTAGCTCTCCTCTGGGTCTTCATCATTCTCACTATCTCGTATGACTCCAAAACCAAGTCCTATAGTAATGAACTGGGCTCCGGGATGATCAAACAACAAGAGTTTTGGTTCACAGTAGCAATTACAGTTCTAATTATCATCCCATGGATAACAGTGAGACGAGTTCCAGTCAAAGTATCTGCTGCTTCTGGTCATGCCTCAATCATAAAATTTGAGGGAGGTGTAAAAGCCGGTATATTGGGAAGGATTAGCCCATCACCATTATCCGAATGGCATGCTTTCGGTATCATTTCTGATGGGAAAACTGAGCATATGATGCTTGCTGGTGCTGTTGGTGACTTCACCAAGTCCTTGGTCTCAAACCCACCGAGCCATTTATGGGTTAGGCAAGTGCACTTTGCTGGTTTGCCTTACCTGGTGAATTTGTATGACAGGGTTCTTTTAGTGGCGACAGGTTCTGGCATCTGTGTTTTCTTGTCATTCCTTTTGCAGCCATGTCGAGCCAGCGTATGTGTACTTTGGGTGGCCAAAGGGATTGTACAAAACTTTGGCAAGGAAATTCAAGAGATGATGAGCGGACATCCTAAAGACAAAGTGATTGTGCATGATACAGCTGTGCTCGGTAGGCCCAATGTGTCCCAAATGAGTGTTGATGCAGCTAAAAATTGGAGAGCAGAAGTAGTCATTGTTACTAGCAATCCAGAAGGAAGCAGAGATGTCGTTAATTCTTGCAAAGCAGCAGGGATTGCAGCCTTCGGCCCTATTTGGGACTCCTAGTTCAATCACTATTGAACATCGTATCTCATTTCTTTTTTAGTTGTCCTAATGTGTGTATTTGGTGCCCTAATGTGTGTCTGTACTGGAATGCAATTGTTCCTCATCTTTTTACATTTTCAAAGAATGATTCTGGATAAAATTATCATTCCACTCACTTTACACCAGGACTGATTTCCATAAGTTATTTAATATAGAAAAGTGATGATTCATCTAAAAAACACTAATATTCTTAGTGCCCAATTTTAGTGCCCCACTTCGTGGACGGAAGTGCGAGCAATATTGTGGAAGTGCTCCACTCATACGGTTATACAAGACCCCTCACACAGCCGATAAAAGGCTGTGTGCAGGGAAATAAGAGGCTTCTTTTGGGGGGAGGAAGGGACGGAATTCTTTAACTGGAATAGGAGCAATTGTTCACAAGAGATTTCATGGGATGAGGCACACGGGAAAAATGAAAGCTGCCCTCTCTTCCCTCTCATTCTCTCTTATATCTTCATACTTAGTTTACCTACATTTAATATTATTTCAGCTTATCTTCAGTAGGAACAACATATCAAAAACATCCACATACAACCATAAACATATTCTGCCCTATTTTTCATCTTTTATTTGTTTATAATTTTCTCTTAGTTACTTCAGCTTATCTCTCGTTTCATGAGAAATTTATTTTTTCAGGGATAGCTCAGCCATAAAAGTTCTATTTTTTTTTCTGTAACCTCATCAGAAAGGGGGGAAAAAACGTAATAAAAAAGACTCTGTCTGCCTGAAGCGAACAACGCTTTGTGACCGTGAAGTTAATTAATCCTAGTACTCGGTGACCAAATTAAAAGAAATAGTTAATCCCCGTACTTCGCTAAATTTACTTTTATGGACCCTGTTGCGTTATATGAGATATTACACCTGATATTCCTCAAGGAGAAGATATATTTATCAGTTGGGCCATTCCAAATTTGTTCATCTTTTACAAATTTAATGAATTGATGATGGGGAGCTATATAAGAGACACAGAACAAGGGATTGGATCAGGATTGGAATTCTCCATACACATTGAAAAGCAAATAGCCATGTTGATAGATTAGCTAGTTTGGTTTTCATATAGAACTTTAAGTAGTTTTTTATTTAGAGCCCCTTGATGTTTTGTTGGAGTTTTGAGATATAAGTGAAATATTTTATGTAACTGAAAGAATAACAATTAAAATCTTATTAGTTATTTTATGGATATTTAATTTTTTTATAAAAGAGATAAACGTTTGAAATAGACATAAAATCAAATTAATGATCAATAAAAAAATAATAAAAATATTTTTATTTAAATATTCTCTTTAATTAATAGAATATCACTAATTAACATCATAAAATTACTTTCTTAGAGTTTAAAAATAATTGCTTTTTTTTTTAGTTGAACGAAAAAAAAAAAAACCTTGTACTTCGGGGTGGATCCAAACATGGCTATAGGAGTATGACACCTCAAAAGTTTGATTAAATTCATTTTGGCTCTGAATACTTGAAGATTTCTTTTGAATACTAGAATTCAAGTTTATTTTATATAAAAATTGCTTCTTCTTCTTCTTTTTTCAATTTTCATATCTCAAAATATTTCAATTTCATTGAATCAAATATAAATAAAAGTACTTTGTTATTTTCTAAAACTCATTATCTATGAAAATTATAATTTAATTAAAAAACTTATTAAACAAAAAAAATAGTGAAATATGATCTTTCAAGTTATTATTAGTTTTTTTGGATGTCTAATTAAACTTTCTTATCTATCATTTTTAGGAGATTTCTGCGTCTCCCACATACAGAAAAAACATTAAGTCATTATCAATCAATGGAGGAACATGTTATAATATATGGGTCCATTCATTAATTAAAGAATCTTATTTCTCCATGTTTGTCAAAGAGTATTAATCATTTTCAAATCGTTAAGTGTAATTATCAAATATTTATGCAAAGAAGATAAAACCTAGTGCAGCTCCTGAAAGATCGAAGTGAAGCTCATTAAAAACAGATATTTCGGGACTGGAATCATGGAAACTTTCCAAAATAAGTTAGATTAATTCTCAATTTCGACAAAAGAAGTGCTCATGTCGTCATGTCAAGCAGTAGAAATATGGAAAGTTTCGAATGATGGTATCCTGGTTAATTACATTTCTAAACTGAGGATTTTTGGTTGTCTTCGTAGATGGTTGCAGTAAATACAGTTTGTTATATGCCAAAAAACCAGAAAAGTAAGGTGGTCGGAATCTATTCTCGGTATCATAAACTTGCAATAAGGCAATTTGGCAAGACTTCAAAAGCTATGGGGAGGAGGGGTGGATATCTTACAGTTAATTCTTGCTTGAAACAATTTAGTATTGCATATACATTGGCATATAGGAAGCCTAGGCACATTGTGGACGTTGCCCGTTGGATTGCCTTTGCATGTGTGTATTGTAAACTTCCTTTGTCGAGGTGTTTGGATCCGAAGATTGTCCATTACTTAAACCTTACAATATCCATAGATTTTATTTTAGAAGTGTACCTTATGTTTTTCTAGTTTTTTTCTGGAGAGCATCAACGTTATTACTACTTTGATCCTACTCCAGCTGAATATAGTTGTGATGGCATATCAGGTATGATGAGCACTCTCTTCTTTATTAGAAGAAGGATCAGAGTCTATAGTTGGCACTTGGCGAAAGCAGACTCTCACAGGACCTTGGTTAGCTATAAGCAATCCAATCCTAGCTCTATCAATACATCCTCAAGAAGCAACTATCAAATACCTGATGCATCTACTACCTCTCTTATAAGCAATGGATCAACTAAATCTGATCTATTAGCATGAACAAAATACCATTATGATCCTGAAGATGTTCATCTCCATGCACAACTATCTATTCCTTCTACAAGTCACACTTGTGTTCTGAAGGGCCAGCACTAATGTCTTGTCCAATCAGCATTTAATGGAATTAAGTTCATTCATAGTGAAGAAGAGAATTACTACTACGAAGCTAGAAAAAATTTCAAATGACATAGGGTGTGTGTAATTTAGCTGTATTCTTTAACACAAAAGCAACAAGGTGTTTTCAAATAACCAATTCAATTTAATAACTTAAATTATTAGGTAATTAGTATATAATTTATATTTATCTCTAACACATTCTCTCACTAAAAACCTTTTAATCTTAAAACTTGTATAAACTTACATTATCTTAGAGATAATTAGATTTGAACTTGTGACCACTTGGTTATTAAAGCTTGATGTTATGTTAAAGAACCATTTCAATCCAATAACTTAAATTATTAAATAAAATTTTAAAATATAATTTATATTAATAAGTATAAATATTAATAAAAGACCATAGCTAGGGATTGGAATTTTTGAGTTGATTATTCATGGTACGACTCTAATACCCAGCCTACCTAATGCAGTAGACAACAACAATTTGTTGTTTAAAGTCAACCAAGATTTAGATGGAACTGTAAATAGATGCCAAACGAGGTTAGTAACCGGAGACTACGCACATTAGGAAGGCATTGATTATTCAACCACATTCAATCCAATTATGAATACAATTACCATTCTAACTATTCTTTATTTGCCTATTTGCGAAGAACGAAACATGAAAGTACTAGGACATTTTGAATGCCTTTCTCAGTATCTAAAGGATGATAACTTGCTATAACCACAAGGTTCGTGAATTAGAGATGTCCTGATTGTGTGTGGAAAGTTTAAAAGTTTTGTATGACTTGAAGCAAGAATTGAAAGCATGGCCTCAAAGGTTTTTTATTTTTTGGATAACCATCAATAATACATTGAAAAGGTTATTAAACCAATAACTAAAGTAAAATATAGGGATAAGATTAAAAAAAAATGAACAGACTTAGAAAAAAAATTAATCTGGTACAACAAAAAAAAGAAAGTATGGCCTCAAAGGTTTATTTCTTTACTAACAAATATTGGCTTCAAATAGTCATATAATGGCTCATCTTGGAGATGATGCTATCTACCTACTTGTTTATGCAGATAACAGTTTTTGACGGGTTCTAGTTCTTCTTTACTTGATTCAATTGTGAAGAGATTATCAGTAGAGTTAGTCTAAACTACATGATTAGAGATAGGTTCATTACTTTCACCATCGAAGTGACTAAACAAGGTAATGTGTTCTTCTTTAATAGCCAGAACACTCTCTTCCAAGAGACAAAACCAGTCAAAACCCCTATGGCATCCAATACAAGACTCAGTCTTCATAAAGGTGAACTTATAAAGAATCGATAACCTTACAATCACATGGTTGGCTCTTTCCAATTTACATTGCTGCACAAGACAAGATATCTCTTTCTCAGTAAATAAACTATATCAATTCAAGTTAGCTCCCCCTTGGTTGGTAGGCTTGCAAGAGGGTTTCAAGGTAGATTAAAAAGGTTGTGGTTAAAGGCTCATTATTCATTGTCTCACCTATAAATCAACTATAAGCTTGTATGCATGTGGATTAAGTTGTTATTTAAAATTATTAAAAAATAATATAAATTATATCTTAAAATCTCGTTTTTTAGTTTAACTGAATTTTTAATATAATATTAGAACATTGATTATTAAATATCTTAAAATCTCATTTAACAGTTTAAGTTTTTTAGTTTAACTGAAATTTTTAATATAATATCAGAGCATTGATTATTAAGCAGTCGTAAATTTAAATTTTATTATTTTTATTTATTTGATAGATATTAAATATAAACTAATATGAGATTATGCAAGTTTTAAATTCAAAGAGTTTCCACTTAAAAAAATAAGTTAAATAATTTATATTTTATGAGCACATCACTTAATAATTATTATTTTAAATACGGTCTATTTTAAAATCATTGAAAATAAATGAACAATAGGTCTCTTGTAATCTTTAATATTATACCTTATTGTATGAAAACTAAACATCTCAGCTTTTTTTTATCCGTTCCCTTATAAGTAAATTTATTTAGCTAATAGAGTTACGTTTAATTGATATTAGTATCTTTTCTATCCTGAAATGTTTTTAATTCAAATTTCTCTTTTATATAAAAAGAATATTTTCCAGATCAAAACCCAAAAAAAAAAAAAATTCAACTACCAATTCCAATTGTATGTAGATATTATAATAAAAAACATACATAACAAAACAATGAAAAATATAAAAACAAAATATCGAGTCCGCGTAAAGAATCGATCCCAGATAATTGATAAATGCATCTGGTAATGGCCAGACTTTGAACAGCAAGTCAATATGCATGATCGAGAATCCTTCAAACGTTGCAGGATCGATGAAGTTAGGCAGTTGGTTTGTTTGTTAACGGATGACTAGAGGTGTGGACTCGCCGTATTGTGTGCTGTAGATGCTCTGCAGGGGAATAGGGGAAGACTTTGAGCAGGAAGTCAATATCATAAAGCTGGAAATGGGAGTTGACGAACATGCACTCCATAGGTTTGAGCCCCGTAGATAGTGAACCCACTTTCTCAAATGCTTCAGAAGTCTGACGTTTACATTGATACCACCCAGTATTGATTGATACCACCTAATATTGAGTAATGGCCATGAATCATAAATGAATGGTTTGAATTCAAATGAATTCTTCATGATAATCTTTTTTTGGTGGATCTACTTTTTGGGAGAAAATGACCTATTTAAAATCTAATTATAAATAAATTCTTTTTGCGAGGAGCACATCTCCCAAGAACATCCAACATTTAATGACAAACGAAAAACATTGATTGTTTTTGTCATTTCAAGCAGAGAGATGCACTTTTTTTTGCCCTTTCAAATACACTAATCTTCAGGTCATGGGTTGCATTAGTCTGAAGGAGTTTCACCATGCCAATATTCACCATCTTTTGAATGTGCATACGAACGTGAATTTGTAAGCGTGTTGGCTTCTGTATACCGTCATCAACTTGAGTTTTTTAAGCTCCCATCAAAATGGAATTCCATCATTGGCAAGTTGCAGGGTTGTCCATATCATTTCTCATTAAGCATCTGACCATCAATCATTGACCAATAATGTGCTTGTTGATGTTTCGGTGTTGACATGATAATAATAGCACAGCACGATTCGCTGTGGTTTGCTTCTGGGTTTCATCCCATACCTTACCATTTCTTTTCTACATAATTGCCTTGCCTTGCTCCTTCGGCAAGCCACTCTCATAAGGGCTATATGCTTCATCATCTTATTTGAAAGAATAAAATAATCGATTATTATAAAATAAAATACAACACGGTTCGGATTCAATTAAAGACTTCGCATTAGGTTGGGCTAGCTGCCTAAATATTCTGGATAGGTTGCTAGAGTATCGGATTAGGTTTTTTTTGTTTATGCTTTTAGGTTTACACGCATAAAAGCATAAAAAACTTATAAAACTAAGAAGTAAGAGTTATCCGAAAATATAATTAAGAAAACATCAATTTTAGCAAAAAGAAACTAGTCAGTTCTTGATTGCACCGAGAAACCTAAGTTATTGTTTTTTAATAAAAGGTAAAACAAAATTGACAATTCCATAAATAGCAAAAACTAACTCATATTTATTCCTCCTTCAATATGTTTGATAAAAAAATTTAGAAGAAAGAAAGTGGGATGAATTCAATTAGATGTTTTTATTTTTTGGGGGGTGTAAAGAAGGAATAGAATGCAAATGAGGCCAAGCTTTCTCTTTTAATCTGTGAAAGCCAATTTCTATATAATTTTATGAAACACTGCACACAGAGTTTAATTTAAATAATTAAATTCTTAGTCTTAATTCTATATTTAAAAATCTTAAAGAGCAACAGAGTGATTCTCTTAAAAATATTTTCCTTTCCTTTCATTTCTAAGCAGTGTGAAAAGGATTGCTCATTTTCCTCATTTCCAATTGAATATGAACACAGGCAATTACACTCCCACATCCATTTTCTTTCCCTCTATTGATTTTTCTCTCATTTCCTTCTACCCATCCTCACATATTTTCTGAATTCCAAAGAGTGTTTGAACCACTGGTATCGGTAGGTTTATCCAGCCAAACCCAAGAGATTTGAATGAACCTATGAGTCAACTTTTGTTGATTCAGACCTGCCAAGGAGCTTTGCAATTGTCACCATGTTCTTTTCTTTTGTATAGGATTTAAGTAATTTATGGAGCCTGGTTATTTTGTGACGTGAGTTAAAGTGGCTAAGAGTATGTTAATTTTTATGTTTTAAAAGTATTTAAAAAAATTAATTTTTTATTTTAAATTAATATTTTTAATTTTTTATACTGTTTTGATATAGTGATGTTAAAATTATTAATTTTTTTAAATTTATTATTTTAAATAAAAAAATATTTTAAAAAATAATCATTATTATATTTTTAAACACTCCTAAATCTATTTGTTGTCATTAATTGATCGTGTGGGCTGGATCACTTTAAACATGTAGTTTGCCAAGTTTTTTCGATACGTTCTCAACACAGGCCTCATTGTGCAGCAATAACCTACCGCAGCTGAAAATGGGTTTCAAGCAAAAGCAAGTTTTATCATATCCTTGAAAGACCAATGAGTTCCCTTTCCAATTTTCTGGAAAAAAAACTTCGTATATTTCTTTGGATTTCCTATTTTATTCTACTTATATACTCAAGGAAGTTATCATTCAAGTGAATTCTCTTTCATTTTTCTTTCTTTAATTCTTTTCTCAATGAATCTCTTACAAAGTTTTTTACTATTTTTTATTGTTATTTTCAAACCCTAATAATAGTTTTTTACTATTTTTTATTGTTATTTTCTAACCCTAATAATAACAGACATGATCGATTCACCGATGAAATTGCCAACAGAATCAGCGACAAAAGTTGTCCTTTGGTGATTACATTGGTAAAAGTTAATATATGACCACTCTGTCGACCCTCTCCTCTCTTATTTCTCCTTCTTCTTCCTTATCCCAACTCTCCCCTCTCAAACTGCAAACAATCACCCTTATAAAAAAATCTTTCTTTTCTCAGCATAAGTCATATTTCTTTACATTTTGTAGTCACAGTATCCGTGTTTTGATATACCGATGGATTTTATTATTTTTTGGAAGTAATTCTATCATTTTTAATTTTAACATTTAAATGTGAATTTTATTGTTATTTTAGTATATGTACATGTTTTATTATTATTTCTCAAACAAATTTGTAGTATATAGGTGTATAATTTTGTACTTGTTATGGTTTCTTTTAAAAAAATTTAAATTTTATTTATTTGTAAATTGTTGAAACTTTATTGAATTACTGAATTATATATGTTGTGGAGTTGTAAAATTAATAGATTATTAAATAAATTTATATGAACATTGATAATTGATAATGAATATTTAATATTTATGAGAAGTTATAATTAGTTTGTTGGATAATCTTGAAGTAAACCAATATTTTTACACATTTACTTACCTAACATAGTTAATTAATACATGTTGTCATCATAATAACTTCTAACCCACTTTTAGCCCACTTACTTTTAAAGAGGGTAAATCTTGAAAATTAAAAGATGGAGGTTTTGAATGCAAGGATTCGGAAACTTTAACGATCAGATTGAATAACCATTCCTACCCCCAAAACAGCGCCATTTCAATTAGGTGCTATTCGTTATCTTCATCTTCAAAGCACCGAATGCTTGCCTGCAAAAAAGGAAATGAAAGTGTGAAGCGCCAGCATCCTAGTCCTATCAAAACACAAAAAAGCAATTTTTATCTTTATGATAATCACAACCCGCCGAGATAAGGATTAGGCTTCGCGTCCAAGTCCTAGCAGGATCTGTCTCCCTCGGTCATGCTTATCAGGAGGAGAGATGTTAGGCTGAGGGAGAGGAGGACTGACCGCTATAAATATCCAGCAGTTGGCAAAGAAAAAGAGGAGTAAAAGAGTGGAAGCCATAAAATAAAGCAAAACTCAGCTTTGTCTTTGTCTTCGAATTCAAGTAGAATAGGCAAACAAAAAAGAATAAGAAAACAGAGGGGAGTGGATTTGAAAATAAAAGGAGAAGGATGTTATTCGGCCGGAGCTAAAACCATCACCCCGTCTGCTTCCCCATCACCGTCTTCACCCAGGTAAGCATTTTTCTCCTCAAGCTCTGCAAATTTGATTCCTTCTTCAAGTGCTTTTCAAAATAGTGCAAATGTAAATTAATTACCTTTGCACTGTGCAAGGGCACGCGTGAATTGCTGTTTGGCCCTGTTATGGGCTTGAGCCAATAATAGGGCCTGAAGTCCTGGGTCCAGCCCAGTACATGTCCCCCCAAGCATGTTTACTAAGGGTGTGTTTGGCACACACCCTTATGTCTTGGCTATAATTTTTATGTTTATTCCAGTTTAATATTTGTCCAAACGAGTCTTTTTTTTTATATTAGAAAATTTCAAAAATATTTGTTGATTTATTTGTGGACCCCTTACACTTAACTTTATTTTTTTTCTTTGTGTTTGTATTTTTTTTACTTATGTACTCAATCTGAGGTTTACTACTATTAAATGCAAATCTGTCATGCAATATTTTTTTATTTTCATCTAAAAAGAGCAAATAATAATAAAGGATAAAAAAATAACATAGAAAATTTATTCTTTAAATTTATTTTTTTGCAAAAATATTTATTAATGTCAGAGTCAGGAGTATCATATTTTAGGATTTGTACGATATTTACCAACACCAGAGTTGGAAATATTCATAGAAATTGTTCACTGATGCTAGAGTCAGGAACATGAAAGGAAGAATAAAAAAGAAAAAAAAAAGAACAAATTCTTAGTAATTTTAAAACAAAACCAGCAATGCAACCTACCTTAGGTGGGACACTTAAAGGGTGATAACATCTTTCCTTTTACATAACTAGTCTCGTACCATAGAATCTCTGTTGACCAATTAGGGTTTCTAGTGATCATAATACTAAGTGACGACTCCATAAACAAGACCTTTTTCCCTAAAAGAATAAGATGTCAGATATCTGTTTTTTTTTTTTTCTAATCAAGAGATATATTTTTAATTGGTCGCCATGATGTCCGGCTATGATAGAAGTCATGGATGATCATTTATGGATGTAACGAGATTCACTCCAAGGATTGTGAAGGATGGATTATTGTATTTAAAAGTGCATTTTTATCAAGATTTTATATTAGCATTTTGCACTTGAAGTATTAATAACTCATTAATTAAATCATGTTTTATAATAACAAGTCTAATATATAAGATACCTTTAATTTATGGTAAATTTTCATCTTAAATATAGGCCTATCACATAAATGAAAGGATTGATTGATAAGTTTAACTTGTAAAATTTAGAAGACAAGGAGAGGCCAAGCATAGAAAAAAGATGCTCGTTTAATCCAAATTGGAACACTGTCCGGTCATTGGATCATAACTAAAGCTATAAAACTTTAGATCTACTCTATATAGATGAAAAGCTAAGACATAGGTCTAAAACTTTCATGGAAGTCTAAGATTTAAAAAGGTCATTTTCAAGTTCAAATTGTAGCAACAACAGAGAAGTCTAAATCTGTCTTACAACCCAAATACTATTTAGTGTTCAACCTATATCTTGAGTACTAAAAGTCCACATGTCCTTTTTTTTTTTATTAGAAAGATGAGAAAATTTCCTAGAACTTTCATGATTCAAGTCTGTTTGAATTCTGACATTAACAATGATGTTTTGTTCAGATAAGAAAATAAGAATTTTCACTATGTCAAGAGTTGGCTACCCACTCAATAATTAGTCATCAAATCAATTGCTATCAATTTTGGCCTATAAAAAGAGGCATTTGTCATGCATTTAGGTATCTTGGTTTTCAGATCAAGATCATGTTCTTGCTCTCTTTCTTTATATTTTTGTAACATTTAAGTTTTGTTTTCATTAATCTTTTATTTATGTTTTTTATTTCCTTTCCTTTACTTAGTTAACTTATATCTTTTTTATGTTCTTATCTTGTTTATTCATATTTCTCTTCTTTCATTATGTTTAGTTAAGTTTATTATATCAATGTGAAATGATTACACTAATGGTGTAAAAATAAATATAGTGTAAACTCAACATGTACTTTAATGTTTGATGCTAACATGTTTTGTATTTGTTATCTTGTTCGCTCTTAATACTTTACTTGTCAAATGGTTAATCTAGATTTATTTTGTACAACAAATATTTGGCATCTTCATAGTCCAACCGTATGGTATAATTAACACCTATGCTATGAAAAGAACTTGATTTGTTGTTAACATAAGTTATAATCATGAATGCCTGACAACATTTACAAGTATTAGCATTATTCAAATAAGATAACTAATGTAATCATGTTAACCATTTAAAATCCAATGGAACCTCTTTTGTGTGTGGTTTCCAGTTGAGTAATGAAAAAAGTTTATACTATACTTATTTGAAATACCATTAATAGGTCCTTTAACCTTGATATTTGTTTTTATTGTTTAATCTTCACATTAATCTTATATCTCAAAGTCCTCTTTAACTTAGTATTGTTGTTGTTGTTGTTGTTAACCTCCTTATGGTTCGATCCCGATCTTGCTGGGTTATTTATCACTTTGAAACTTCTACACTTGGAAGAAGACATCAATCTTTTGGTTGTGTCACATACCGGCAGCTCCGTTTCGTTTGCTGTATATGTAAAATGGATGGTAAGATTAATTTAAATGAAATATATCATTAAATAATTTGTTTTTAATTAATTTTTTTCCTTACAGGCTACGTCTTTTGGATGTGAGGCGAGTCCAATAGAGCTATTTGTTGAAACACATGTGCAGAGTTAAGACTAACAAAAAGGGGTGCAATAGTTCGTTAACAATCGCGTTTAACGCTTTGTGGTAAGTTTGTTCAACCATTTTATTTTATAAGTTATTATATTTATTGCATTGAATATGATGATTTCTTTTTTTATTTTCAGGAGACCTATAATAGCTAATTGAGGGAGAGATATAGGAATGATCCTTCGACCCATCCTGATTTCGATCCGGATTTGTGGATGAAGATAGGATTGTTTAGTAGATCTAATAAAAATCAGGTATACGGGCTCTCCAACACTACGGTTGAGAACTTACGGGTGACTTGTAGTGTCTCAACCATTGGGAGCTCCAATCAATATCGAGCACCCAATCTAAGGAGTTTGTGGCCTTATAGTAACATATGACTCATGTCACCGAGAAATACGACCAACTATCAGCGTGTTATGAACAAAACATGGCTCCTATGACTCATCTCACTGAGAAATATGAGCAACTCTTAGTGAATTATGAACAACTTCGCTAAATGATTTGAACATGACATCACAGAGTAGTGATACATGTGCGCCTTCTTTTTTACTGTATAACAACCAGCCTCTTTCTCCTCTACCTCTGTTATTATGCTAATTTAATATATTTTTTTTAAACACATTCAATTTGTAATAAATATTATTTAACTTTCTTTTTTTTATGTTTAATAAAATTTTATTTGCATAATTAATCTTTTACTATTAATTTATATAATTTTATATTATTTATTCTAAATAATTGTTTTAATTTTTAAAAATAACCACCAAGGGATTTACAGATGAAATGCATCTGTTGGCATTTGATAGAGAGTGGGAAATGCCAACATCATGTGTTTATCAACATTTTACAATAGTTGGGTGCAAATACCACAATCACTAATAAATTTACAGATGAGAAAATTCTGTCAGCATTTCATAGAGTGGTGGAAATGCCACACTCACCGATAAATTTACAAAGGGATACCTTTCATCGGCATTTAACTGGAAGCTAAAAAATATTTACTAGATATGCCATTGTCACTAATAGAAATAATTCGTCAGTATATTTCAAGCGGGAATTTTTTTTGGCACACAATGTTTGTTTATAAAAGCATCGATAATATTTTTTTACTGATAGACTTAACGATGAAACTCAGTTTAACAACAAATGATAAGCCGATAGATGTTTTCCATCGGTGATTTAGTCTGTAAAAAAATTACTAACGAACTCTGAATCACATACTAATAAAATTTGTCTGTTAGTAAAACTATAAAATCTTGTATATCATTTTGTGATTTGGACCTAGGGCCACATTTTATAACCAAAAAAAGAATAAAGATGTCATGAATTGTCAAAGAGTGAATATTAAAGGTGTGGAGCTAAGATTCATAGTCAGAAAAAAAAATATTTTCATGAATGTAATTATACAAAACAATATTACTTTATTATGTAATAAATAATAATACAATTAAATTGTAATTTCATTATAATCATTCTAAATAAATTGCTAGGTATGTTATAAAGTAAAAGATTCAAAAAACTATTGAGGGGAATGACTTAAAAAGAAGGGGAAATTCAAAATCCTAAAGCTATTTAGTTTACTTTCTTGATATTTTTTGTAATTTGTTTTAGATTTTTAAATTAAATATTTATTATTGTATAATTTTATTCCAGTTAGTTATAATTTTGAGAAAAGAATGATAATAAAACTCTATATTAAAAAAATAAAAATAAAATATATATATATAAAGAATGAAATCTTCTACTTTTAATATAATATATTAAAACATACAAATAAAAAAACTTAAATACACATGACTTTACATCACCGGATATTAAAATATTGTATAAATATAACAATCATTACACTACCAGAAAATTGATAAATACAAACGAAAATATCCAAGGAATTATAGTGGAGAAAAAATTCAAACAATGCAAAAAAAAAATAATGATGTGTTATTTTTACCAACAGAATCACCAATGAAATAAATTTCATTGATAAAATTGTTGATAAAATGTGAACATTGTTCATCATGTCAATTACAAATAGAATCACTGATAAAATTTTATGCTGGTATTTTTCAAAGAGCTTCATAACTGTTTACTTTTCAATTATATTATTAATTCTTGTTTTTTTACAGACAAAATCATTGACGGATTGAAAAGTTATCAATGTTATTGGTGGTTTTCTGAAAAAAATCAATTAATTTAAAATTTTCATTTAAATATTAAAATGAAATCACCGACGGATTGAAAAATTATCGGTGATTGTTGGCAATTTTTGAAAACTTTTTATGAAATTAAAAATTTAAATTAAATATTACAGATGAAATTACCAATGAAATAATTAAAAAATATTAATATTTAATTATCCGTAGGTAAAACCATCGGTAACACGCCCCCAATAAAAAACCTAAATTCTTTTATTTCACAAGAGACAGACTCATTTCTTAATCTTTTTCTTCTAGTTCTTCTTCTTCATTATATGTTAAAAACATCAATATCTATTTCTTTCTCTTCTCTTCTCTTCCATGTTCGGGTATATCTTCTTATTCTTTCTTCTTTGATCCTTTTAGTTTTTTTCTAATTAATATGCTTTACAAAAAAAAATTTCTCTCCATAACTTGCAACTACATCAAAGTGAGACTTTTTTCTTCTTCTTTTTTTTTCACTATATTTTTTATTTTTAATTGTTTTTGTTCTTAATAATTGTAAAAATGTAGTTGTGAGATTTTTTTTCTTATGAAATCAATTTTTAGTTACTTTATTTATAGGATTTTTAATTTTTTAGCAATTGCAACTTCATTTTTTTCAAATGAATTTTTTAGTTGAGTTTATTTTTTTGTTTTATTTATTTGTTGCAAATTTGTTTGAGTTGATTTTCTTATTCTTTTTTCCTAGTATTTTGAGTATATATTATAGAGTTTTGATTGATGTTAATTTTATTATTTTATAATTTCCAAGCATTTCAATGTTAGAGAATGAAAAAAAATCATTTTGATAAAATCCCCATTAAGAAAAAGTAATAGAAACTAATTGCTAAACAAAAAAAAAAGGGGTAAATAACATTTATTAATTTTAAGGGTAAAATTAAAAAAAAAATCAAACATTTCACAAAAACACTTCAAACAAAAAACTAAAATCAAAAGAAAGATGAGAAAATTTAAAATGAAAACAAAATAAGAGAAAAATTAACATTTCAATGTTAAGGAATGAAATTAGAAAATAATAAAAAAATTAGTAAAAAGCCCAAAAAATAATAATATAAAAGAATAAAGAAAAAATTCTAAATTAAAAAACAATAAGAAGAGAACTGATTTAAGGGTAAAATTTAAAAAAACTCAGACATTTGATCACAAAAATCAAGACAAAAACCTGAAATTAAAAAGAAAAAAAAGGTCAAACATGAAATCAAAACAAAATAAAAGGAAAAAATAATATTTTAATTAAGGATAAAATAAAAAAATAAAATTCACAAAAAACATTAAAATAAAAATTATACAATCATAAGCAAGAAGATAAATTAAATATTAAAATAAAATAAAAGGATAACATCAATTTGCTGATTGAACAACACATTTTTCGAGATAAAGAGATGAGGAAAGAGAAAATATTGTCGGAGCCAAACAGCCCACTGGACCACCGCACACATCACCTCATTTAATAGAGGATGCTGTAATCTTTCTATTGTCACTGCAGATGGATAATTTTCACCACTTAAATTCTATATGCGCCACTTGAAGCGTGCAGAGTGGCTTCACATACTCGTGTAGTGCATGAACAGAACGCGCCAACAAAATATGTTTGTTTCAGGGGGCACCAAAGTAAATTTAAGGCGTTATTTTAAACAAAATGACAAAGCTAACTTTTTCGTATTTCAAGGCATCTTAATCATTATACTGTATAATTACATTTGATAGATATTCTAGACCATAATCAAAATGATAATAATTATATTATTCTCGCCCACAGGGCACTGAGCATGTGCGCACAATGATAATTCTCCAACTCTTTTATATTATTTTTTTAATATCCATGAGAACTTGATTTATTAATTCTTCTCAATGAATTAGGTCGTTGAAGTGAATACTTCTTTCAGACAATTTAGAAAGGGATTTAATCTTGATTAATCAAGGATCCTATTATTATGAAATCAAAAGGAAGGAAAATAAAATAAATAAGTTGCTCGACAACTTTAGGTTACTGGCTTGCGACCACTTATTGCAAGTGGATGGGGATAGTTAATACTTGTTTAGATTTAGATGGGGAAATATGAGCTGCATCTTTAGGTTTTTTTTATGGACAGGATGCTCCTACTTTTCTTGTGTCTGTTCTCTGATTTTCGAGATTTGAATTTTCATACGCTTCACATGCATTTACGGAAAAACCTTCGTTGAATTTATCAGACATACACAGGATGAGAACACAGTTACTATTATATATATATATATTGTTGGATTAAAAATCCTTTCCATCGAAAGATACCAGTACAGATGAGAAAGCAGCAAGATTCGACAAACCGAAACAACAGGCTTCACTAGCTAATAAATCACTCGACAAGGTAGACACCCATGATTTCAGTCACGAAAAGGGTTTATTTAAGAGAGATTCGCAGGGGTGGTGTGGTGAAAGAGCCGCTGACCAAACCCATGGCAATGTACCTGTAAGCAGCTTCTGTCAAGTGAATTCCATCCCAATTTGCGTGGCTGGAAGGATTGCTACATGTTCTTGAGCCCATGTGCCCGCACCTTGCCGAGTTATTGAAATTGTATGGTCCACCCCCTCCACAACAAGCCGTCAGAGTTCCACCAGTAAATCCTGCATGTTATAATAAACTTTCTTAATCTGTGATGTTGGAGATATGAAAATGAAGGTAGGTAATGTAGTAATTGTTCTTTTTCCAGAGGCGATAATTATGGGAGGAGATAGAATCAAGGGTCGAAATATATATATATATATATATAGCATCAGATTATTGAAACATTATCAATTTTACACCAAAACTATTCTTTCACATTAGTTTTATTGTTAAGTTATTTTGATTTCTTAATTAAGGAATTTTATTGTAATACTTAACGTTAAGTTTTCTATAAAATAAAGTTGTTTTTATATAAAAAATGTTTTTTAAATAAAATAAAATATAGATGGAAAGCTTTAAAAAATGGACGAAGATCTTATTGATACTATTTTTGATTTATTTTGTCAGTTTTTTTTAATATCTCAGTATAATTTTTTTTTTTTTGGTTATTATCTATATAACTATTTTTTTAATAAATTCAATGATTAAAAAAAGCATAGGGTGTAATGGTCTTTTGCTTGCTAGTACCAACAAATAGTTCAAAAGACTTACCATGACGCTGTGGCGCGTGGTAGAAACGCTTGGCTGCACCATAGTAGTCAGCATATATTATCCTAGCATGTGGGTATTTTTGTCTCAGCATCTGCAGGGCTGTTTTGAGTTGATTGTTATGGTACTTGGAGAAAGCATTGCAAGCTTTCAAACACCCATTCCGATCATATTCTGTTCTGTTAGGACTTCCGAACAAGGTCAGATACACTGCCGAGCATCCAATCGGCAAATTCCCCGGCACCAACA